CACCACTCCATCTGTTGTTCATTTCTTCTTGGATCGTGAGTCTTGTGTGCAACCAGTCGTTGTTGGTCACGTTCTTGAGCCTGGGACTGACGGTTTCTGGGCTGAACTAAGGCTGTACGGCAATACGTTCACATCAACACTTTTCACAATCATAAGTACCCGTAGTGAGGACGAGGGCGAGTCTGGACTGAGCATCGTAATGCTTCCAGACTCTAAGGCCCATCCTTAGCTCTTTTCCAGGTCAATTACTTCTCACACGTTCCACAGTCACTTTTCTTTCCAAACATTCACACTTGGTAATCTTATATCCATTACCTAGTTCCTGGTTCCACACAAATCCGTGCTCCCATGAGAAATTCCAAATCGCTTCGTGTCACTTTCCCGTCTCACGGTCTACACGTTCGCCGACATATCATTGTACACTGCGGTACAGTCCTCTCCAGTGAAGTGATCCCGGATCCGATCATAAGTACGGCCGATCCCCTGATGCCCACCTTAAATGCACGTGCGATAATGATGTTGAACGTCTTGATCCAACGTTTCAGGTAGCATCAGTCGCATCTATTTGTCCCGATCCGCAGCTGATTCTATCGTAGCAGGGCAACTGAACAGGAGATCATGCTGATCCACTTCATAATTCATAGCAATGCATCCGCATAATTTAGCGTCTTCCTGTGTCAGATCACGTACTTCGCCGGCTATATTCCTTCCCAACATGGGTCTACGCCTCCTAGTCATGAGCCTGTCGGATCCGCTCGATTCTGAGGTCTCTGATCACTGCTTCACTGAGCACAGGTGGGTTAGATCCCGCTCTCCCGCCGCAGTTGGCCTTTGATCTAGTTGTGACAGTCGCGATCTGTACGGTCGGACCCTTTGAATTTCACTATCAGTATCTCGTCCAGTCGGTTCAACGTGATCAGATCCTGGATCTCCCTATCGGTTTCGATCTCGACTCCACATTGTCGATGCAGTGCAGCACTAGCCAGACTATCTGCACTTCCATTCCAATCTCGTTTCACATGAACCAACTCATGATCTGGCAGATTACGCAGTTTGTCCAACGCCTTCTGTCTCAGTAATGTCAGACCAGGTGCTTTGCAGTCGATCTCACTTGGATTTCCAAGTTTGAATCGCCACAGATCATCAGTCGTAACGGAGCAAGCCAAGACATAACAAAAGCCCATGACATTCGGCCTCATTAACGGTTAAGACTTCGCCATAGCTGGATCCGACCTTCACCACTGTCCACTCGGGTAATTTCCACAGGACCGCACTATAGGCGCCTCCACCTTGCTTGACACGGGCAGACCCGTCATAGCTAGCGACATATAGATCTTCATCCGGCCTCACCGTCGGGAACAGGAGTTGGATCTTGCGTCTCGACTCCTTCTTCGAGGCGATCAAGATCAGTACTTTGTCGACTTCGGATCTGGTGGTGATACGGGCTGCTAATGAGCCCCAGAACTCATCCTCGCCTTAGTGTCACTTGACGATCTCCAGGATCCAGGGTGAAAGTAAGGCAGCCCACCCTACCAGGCGACCTTGTAATGCAGTGGATCTAAACAGTCAAGCCAGTGTAGAATGTCGTGGTAGCACTCGGACCGGTCCCCCAACCAAAGTATTACAGTTGAGATCCTTGATTCGCAACAATGTCAACGCCTCCTTCTCTGCAATCTTGTAGTTTAACTCGTTGGGCTTCAACGAACGACTTGCAAACATCACTGGATAGTAGGTCTGATCCTATCCCTGCATCAATGCACAGGAGATCGCCCAATGAATGGCACATACAACCTCTACGGCTTGCCGATCAGGATCAAAATGACGTAGGATCCGCGTTGTCGCGAACTTCTTCTTGAACACATTGAAAAATCTATGAGCATGGGTCCAACGGAGATCCAGATCCGCGAGGTTATTCAGCTCCGGACCAACCATGTTCGAGTTGTCATACGTCGAATCCCACGACATTAGGTCCGGATCTTGCTGGTTAGGTTCGAGATCTGGACCCCGCGAGTCCGGATCCGATGGTTTGAAGTTGTCCGATCCTCAGCCGGCATCTCCGGATCCGGGAGTTTTGACGTTAGCACCAGCTGATTCGATTCACATTCTTCTCCATCGCAGCATAATTGACCTCCCTCAAATCATATAGCACAGACGCGTAAACCAGATAATCCTTGATGAAGCGACTATAATAGTGCTGACTCCCCAAAACGGATTGCATAGCACGCAAGGATCTGGGAACCTCAAGATCCGTCAACACCGACAGACCCTTTGGATGCGCCTCCAGCCCGTCGTACGATACCTTGATGTCCAAGATATTCCATTTTCGGCATGCCCCCGAAACGCTTGACGACGCTGATCGACAGCTTCCATTTGTCGCACGTCTCCATAATATCTTCAACACGATCACATAGCTGATCCCAATTGCTCGCTGGGACTAAGATGTCATCGTCGTAGGATCTGCATCCTACCACTGATGGTTTGCCTAGATCCTCAGGTTCTCCAGCCTCGAATACATCCCGACGCTCCAGATCACTTGTCCATTCGGGATTCGGGTGAACCCATACAAGGCGTTGTCAATCATCCGCTGGTAGATCTGCGACGCGTTCTTCAGCCCAAACGGCATCCGATTATATTTGAAAAGCCCAAACGGAGTGATAAAAGCCGAGCTCAGGCAGCCGGATCCGTCATCTTCACCACCCAAAATCCGCTCGCCATATCCAGCGAACAATACCATAGTGTATAATTCAGCTCCTTCAGTAGATCGTTGATCTGGGGCACCGGGTAGACCATCAGCAATGTCAGACTGTTAACCAACCGATAATTAATACATATTCGTATATCCACACCGTTCTTCGTGATGATCACGAAAATCAGTGATGCCCATGGAGATCTTGAGTGGTTGATCATCTCCTCAGCCAGGAGACCCTTGATCATCTCTGCCATCTTCTCTCCGTACTGAATTCGAAGCTTACGGCACTTAAGCGCGATCGCCTAGCTACCCCACATCAATATCACACACAACATCCTGGGCTTCCGGCGGGAGCGTATTTCCCTTGCCGATCAGGGGATGTCGGAACTTCCAGAATCACTGACAAAGTCCGTCGATTTCTTCCGACGTCTGTTATCAGATCCGGGAAATTGAATGGCTTCGATCCTCACACCTTCCGTCGTTACCGGGACCTCGGGCAGTACCGCAAGTTGTCCGTCGACGTCTTCTGCGTAGAGATCACTGTCCTCGTGGTAATACACACATCCGTCGTAATCTTGATCCGACTCCCAAGTGAGATCCAGATCCGATGGGTCAGGTTGATCGTCGGGAATAGCCGCCTGTTCCCTGCCTTTTTCTGGGACATAGACGTGGTGTTATTCTGGTCCTACGTGTCACCTCACTTATGGCCCGTCATAGACTCTACATCCATCAAAGGTGATGGGTTGGACCCATCACCCTTCAATATAACGACCTTCGGCGCTTGAACTTCTTGGGATGGCTGATCTTGATCCATACCGGTTGCACCACTTACATCTTCATCTGCCAATACTTTCCAAGGCTGGATCTTCAACTGGAGCCGAATTCGCCGATAGAATATCTGATACGCCCGGACACGATCGTTGAACGCCTCGACGCCGTTACGACATGTAACATAGGGTCGTCATCATCGATAGACGACAGATCCGATTCATCACTTGCGACAGCCGTCGAATCCAACGGTCGGCAATCCGGCGGTGGATTGTTCGACGGCGGATTGTCCGACGACGAGTGGTGAAAGGCATCTAGATCTTCACTTGATCCACCCATCATACACTTGATCGCCGTCGCCCTTGGCCGTTGCAATATTCCACGCGGAGTTCCATACTCGGGGTGCTCCACCCCAGGCACAGGTGGATCTTCCGGATCTGGAGATCGGGGTTCCACGGTCCCTTCCCGGTCCAGATTCTGCCACTCCATATAGTGCCGGGACCCCAGTGAGATGAATTGTCGTGGGACAAGATCGCCGGCCAGCCAGATCCCGATCCGCAGGTCCTGATGAAGGTTCAAGACCTCATGTATCGGATCTTCTTTGCACCATTGGCTACCGTGGGAACCCAGTGATCTCCACGGGTGACCCAGAACTTCTCATGATCCGAGGTCCTCAGACGAAATGGGAGCTCCACTAATTCTCCTGGCTGGAACCTCAGGTGTTGACCGAAATTCACGATTCTGACCTTGTCGCTGTAAAGCTGTCGCCTTCCGCTAAGCTGGATCCGGACTTCGTCGGGCAAGCTTTGAACCGGGAGTGAGGTCCAAGCCGATCGCGGCCAGAAACATGAATGCCATGCCGAGGATAGCTTCTTGATCAGGGAGATCTCACACATAGATATCGAAGAAATAAACTAAGAACCCTGCTAGAGTCATCTTGATCCGCGTGCTTCCTTTCGGTTCGATACACGTTAAAGCCGATATCCACACAAAATTTTGCATCTGATTCGAGTCGATGTAGCACCCAACCTTACGAACAAAAGCGGTACCTATGATGGCACCTCGGTACCAGTACCTAGGAGTAAGATCGCCTTCTCATTGTGGGTTTTGCCACCGATCTCGGCTTGACGGAACCACTAACCAGAAGCAAGATGCTTCCAATATCCACGGCATCCCCCAGGTAGGATATCCAATGTCGGCGCGGATCCAGATCATCGATACTCTGCGATCCGATTAGGCCTCGCGGTCTCGGCTGTAGCTCTTAATTCACAAGTTTAAACCACAGATCTGGATCCTGCTGTTTCCAATAACCTCTGGATTCTCCGGGATGAAGATCCACCGTCATGGTCACATCGGATCTGGAATATTCATCAGCTTGGCGAAGACTGGATATCACGAAGGTATGATTCCCATGCAGATCACGGGTATTATCGGGTAGATGTCGCTGCTCGCTAACTTGAGCTACCGATGGTTTATGTACAAATGCATAAATGCAATGACTAGAACGCTCGGCTCGTATCGGATTCCTCCCCGACGAGCATCCTAGTTTAGCATCTTCTTGCAGCTACAGGAAACATACCCGTATACTTGGTCGGATTAAACCATTGACGGATCTGGTTGTAAAACCCCTCCATCGGGCATTTGCCCATGTCATGGAGCTCGCCACATCCGCGACATACAAAAAGGCAATGATCCGCCGATTGACCTCGTTTGCCGCACTTGGTATAAGTCACGCGTCTCTAGTATCCGATATTCGAGTGCTTCTTGAATCCGCAGTGCGCGCATTGGTTACGGTTGAATCGTCACCCGGGATCTTGGATCAGTGCTCCTGGCGGATATGTTGATGGATCCCGGATCCTGAGGTCCCGGATCCGGCATGATCGTCTCGCTTTCCTCCTTCGGTGTGGCATCTTGATTCGCGGCAAGGTAGTTTCTGCGATGACTGTCCACCTCAGAGTGGGATCCGTCCGATCCGTCGGAAGAACCCAGCCTTCTTCTGTCGGATTTTGGCCCGATCCCGGCGCGAAGTACTTCTTACAGATCATCCGCATCCGATAATCGCAACAGCGTTTAGCCAATACAGATCCAACGGAGATTCATCGGATCTGCGACGTGCATGGTAATATTACCTCGCCACGGATACTCCAAGTCCGCAATAATGGATCAGGAAACTATGGAGCAGATCGCTCCACTTGTCACGCGTGGATCGACCTAATTGGTGGTACCAGTTCTTCGCTGATCCTGCAAACATATCGGCAAAGGTTCAGCATTTCTTTTCATCTGATGCTTGATCCCGCATGAAGGCCGACTTGACCTTGGTGATCCAAGTTCGTGCTCGATTATCGTCCGGATCATTTCCAGAAACTTCTTCAGATCCGAGATCACCGAGATCCGGGCTCGTTGGATCATGATGGGTCCAGTGAATCAGGATGCAGCAGTAGCTACAGCCGCTTGAGCAGGTACCAGGAAGTCGATATCGTCCGGATCATATTTCCAATTGGATCCGCGATCTGATGATCGGACCGACACTCATTTCAACATCCCGTGATTCGGTATTATGAGGATCTGCAACGAGTGTGGGCCCTTTTCTGCAACAACCAAAGGAACGGTTTTGGTGGCGAAACTAGGTGGATTCTTCTAACAGGATGTTAGTGTGCTCAACTACTAGTGTGGTAGTTTAACGTCACTATCCGCACCCGCGGCTTGTTGTTCAGCTAGGAATCGGTTCATCGCGGCGTTAAAAACTTCTGCAGCGATCCAGCCGACCGATCCAAGCTCGAAGTGATTGTGGCTTGGTCAGTCGGTGTTAATCCTATAGGCTGCCTGCCAGATCTGAGTGGGCTCGGACACCGGATCTTGGATCTCACCTCCAGCATTGATGCGCCGGAGGGTCCCAGCGACATGCGCCGGGCCCCGATGAGATGTCGGGTCCGTCTTCAGCAGCATAGTGTGATAAGACCGTCAAGTTATCCACTGCGTTGACCGGGGGAACTTCGCCAACCAGGATCTTCAACTTTCCAAAGAAATCTCGGCTTGCGGCTTGTATCAAGGTCAATTCCAGATCGAATAGATCATCCGTCTCAAAGGATCCGGGATCATGCCGCCTTCCTTCAGCAGCCTGATCAGGACCGTTGCTGCGTCGAACTTGTTGGTTACTGCTGCTTGGGCAG